GTTACTACTTGTGGTATAATTTTTATTAAAATAAAGTTAATCATGGAAAAAACATGTGTGTCCAATTATTAAAGCAAAGTGGAAATGGACAGTTATCATTTTAAACTCAGGAAAAACAATTTTTATAGTTCAAAGTAAGAAACCATGAGTTATAAATAATGTAATTTTTGTATTTTAGTGCAATGAGTAAAGATGAATCAATGCAGTAAGTACTAGCTGTAAGAACTTCTAAAAATTACTAGATTTTTTTCTGTATTATAGGTATGAATTCAGCATCAACTGATTTTTTATGAGGCATTAAAATAATATTATAAATTCATAAGAGAAAAATTATCCTTGGGTTCAATTTAAAGTACTGTTATTCTTTACTTCAGCTCTTCATTATTCTGTAACGAGAGTTCAGATGAATCTTTACTGGTTGCAGTTGTTTTTGACCTAATAGTTCAAAGCGCTGATTTTTAAACTCGATAAAATTAATGACTTTTTTTTGGTGAAGTTTTCTGAACAGCCTAGTGGATTTAATACAAACTAGGTTTTCTTCAGGTCTTACATCCCAAGAATGCATAGATGGCACAGAAATGTCATGGCAATTGTTCATTGAGTAAATGAACAATTTACTCAAATTTTTTGATGAGTAATCAAAAATATACTCATTTAGACTCAGCTGGGTTCTAGGCACAACGTTTCTTATACTATCTTATTAATGGTCTTCCCTCTCAAGGAAATTCCTCTCTGTAAACTAGTAGAAGGAATATCTTCTGAATTCATCAAATATACACATATCTTACATTTCTCAAGGGTATTTTGGATAGTTATCAAAAAGTCTAGGTGTCTTCATACATCACATCAAACGCACTTTTCTATTAAGCTGCTAATGTACAAGAACAAGGAATAAAGTTAACATTCCACAATGAATGTTCAGAGATAATGCACAGAGCAACAGATTCTTCAGTGACATTAATAAGGTATTTGGTACATTAAGTCTAAACAAATTTTGTATGAGCAGGAATATTTACGGTAACCTCTTTCTATCTTCCTCAAATGTAATTAATTGACTATATAAAAAGTTATTAGTGTTCTCATTTCTTCTTTCAAAACTAAACCAAACTAGATAACACAATTTATTACCTAGAATTAAAAATAAAAATGAATTTTAAAAGATCATGATGTTTCCTTGGAGTGATGTAAAATTTCCCCAAACCTTCAAGGGTAAAACAAAAAACCAGGAGAAAATTATGCTGGATACAAGAAATATTTAGCAAGAGAAATAAACAAGAAAAATCTTGATAGTCAATGATTGAATACAAGTGGCAAATTATTTCAGTATACATCACTGTAATTTTGATTTTTTCAATTTTACCTATAAAAGGAAGTTTATTGAGATCTCATCAAAACAACTCAGCCTGCCATTGCCACTCTGTCACCACCCAACAAGTTATCCCCAATCCTAAAAGATCATCCAGATAAGATTTACGTACATAGCAAACTAAAAGAGACAAAATACTTTCCTTCACTTTTGTTTAATATGAGAGTTAACTCACTTAAATGGAAGCCATATTTTGAAATGATTTATTAGAGGAACTTCTAGTCTGATGCATGATTTCTTACTTTCCTTACTCATCTTCACATCGCTTCTTCTCAATTTCAACTCATGCTCATACTTTTTATAGATATTTCCATTTCATCACATTTGCTGTGGTAAGTATTCTTTAGGCTTCTGGAGTAGATTTTTTTTCTCTTGGTGTTCAATCACTAAATGAATTCCCTCCACCTCTATCTTCTCCCTCTAGACAATTATTGAAAGATTGAGGCATACTATTTCCTTAGCTATTCTGTGACTTGTATTCCTTACCCAAAAAAATAAATAAACACACAAAACAAAGCAAAAAAAAGTTGACTAGTGACATAATAATTGCAGAAATTTTGAATTTTCCATAAATAATCCTCCTACACTAGTACCTCCTTCCCCAATAACACACATATCTTACTTTTCACTGTAAATTATTATTCACTTAGCTCTGTTGGTTGAATAAATCAGTTAAAAACCTATATTTTCCCAAAGGTGGAGACCAAAAAACTTTAAAAACACACACACACATTTTTTAACTATAAACCAAACCAACATAGAGATGACTATAGTCATAATTCTCTTTCTAATATCCAATAGAGGACTTTGGACATCTTAGGGGCACAATAAAAGATGAATGTTTAAATATATGTCAAAGGATATTTTCAATACTTTTTCTTATTTCAGAGAAAGTGATCAGCTGTGAAGGTATATATTATATACCACTGAAATATAACATGGTTAGAACTTTGGCCCTGTAAAAAGTTAATTATGTTTTTATTGTTCTGAAACTGATGGATGTCTTCCTGACTAGAAAACATTTTTAGCATTATATTCTTTCCCATAAGTGGAGATTGTCATATTTTCATTATTCAGTTCACACAACTTTAAGTGTCTTAATTATTTGTGTAGATTGGAGTAGATATTTGGGAATATTTTCTTACTAAAGTCAATGAAATTTACATTTTATTTAAAGCTTCCCTAGAGCACAAACTTAGAAGGCACCTTTCTCATGGGATTCCTACACATTTAGAAATTTTAAAGTATTGATTTGATAAAAACATTATAAACCTCAACTTCTGGAACATATGAGTTTTATTAGGTAGTTACTTCTTTCTTTGCACTCTGAAAGTTTCTAAGTACAATGGCAATGAGACTAAAACTTTTAACACAAATAATTCTCATAATTAACCAACAATTCCCATAATTTTGAATTTCTTAAAATTAATTTCTTCCACTACACTGGCAAGGCACATTGTACCCATGATAGAAGATGTATTAGTCTGTCTTCCATCAAAATTATTCTTTTATGTATCTGTCTTTTATATTAGATTGTGAGCTCCTGGAAGGTAGATATAACTCACTCATCTGTATTCCTCCTGTGTGGTACATTATTACTTTGTACTAGTGGATGGTAAGAAACACTTATGGAATTAAATTTGGAAGTATATTTTGTATATCTAAGATACTTGATATGCCACATATCCAGATTTTACTAGATATAACTCAAGATAATCTAAGTCTTCCTCCAAAAGGATCTTTTGGCTAGTAATTCATTCTCTGACAATCTAAAAACAAAAAAAAAATGTGGGAAATAAGCTGACAGAGATAAGCCTTATCATAACAGATTCTTGGCTAATGTGTGCCAAATCTTTATGGCCCTACATATCTTCAAACTGCTGTCCTCTAACTCCAGTAAAAAAAAAAAAATGTGGAATTTTCTTTTCTCTATCACCATGAGAATGAGTCAGACAAAAACAGTGTAAACTGACATTGAGACTGCAGTTTTGTAATAAGAGACTGACTGGCTTCAGATATCAATTCTTATACTTTCTCACTGAGTGATTAAAAGCAAGACAATAACCCATCAAACTGTCACTCTCCTCATTTTCAAGTGAAGATAGTAATAGTATGTATCTCTTAGATTATTTTTAGAAATCAATGAGATAGTTCATTGTTGTTACTTCAGCAAATCAGCACAGTATTTGGTATATAATAAGAAATTAATTGATAGATATAAAAATATCTTTGAGTTGTTCTTAGAGTCCTTGAAATTAAGTTAATACAAATTAACAGTGTGTTAGATGATTTTTAAATTCCATTTGAGGTAGATCTTAATGATTTTATTTGAAATTTCACAAGTAGTATATAAAGCAAATAATTGTCCTATTGAAAAATACAGCTCAAATTTGAATTTAAAGATTTTTCTCCACTCATCAATATGTTGTCACAATTTTAGAACTTCCGTAAGTATTTTAGTAACAGCATGTCACTGATAATTTCTAAGATCTAAATAGGATGGAGATACATGAGGCTACAGTGCACCATTCCTGTTATTTATGTTACAAACCACGTCTATAGTGAAAAGCAAGATGCTTTGTTCTATTCATATTTTAAACATGATAAATTATATAAAGTATATTCATTTATTTCACATGGGGTTGATAACAGACTTACTTAATGGCCTCCACAGAATAACAGGCTCAATTCTTTGACAGAATATAATAGCAAACACAAGTATTAAAATGAACAAGACTGTAAAGACTGTGTACCTTCATATAGAATACCATATGTGTATATGTTTAAGTGCAAATAATGCTTTCAGTGTGCTTAAGCAATGAATTTTACTTAGTGGTAAGTAATCATTTTAAAATTAAGTAACTTTATGATTTGATATATCTTATACATAATAGTTTTATAAGAAGTAGGTTTGTTTAATTGATTTTACATAAAATACAAAGGGAGTTTTAATAAAAATCAGCCTCATGACAGATTTCAAGTTCTCCAATACTGTATTAAATATTAAATATCTACTACAACTCAGAGGAGATTCACATACTTTCCTGGGTAGTAAAAATGGCCAAATAAGGGAGCAAAATAAGTTTTAGAATATGACAACACATCAACCCTGGATTCTTAAGTAAGAGAATTTTCCTTAAAGGACTAATCCTTTGTAGGTAAGCATCTATTTGATAGGCAAATGTCACTAAAGAACAGATCATATTTTACAGCAGTTAAATAATTATCACCATGAGATAGAAGGGCACAAATATAGTCAACAAAATATCTAGCTCTCTTACAATTAGATAATATGAGAACCAATGATATGTCTATCCTCTGCCTAAAAGAAACTTCTTTCTCTTCATTTGGTACACAGGCTCACATACATCATTAAATAGCATGGAAAACTTAAATATCATACATGACACCTCTGTGAAGTGTAAGCCAGTATAACATAATGAAACACATTAATATTTTTACAACAAAAAGCAAATCAACACATTTAGTGGGGTAAGTTTATTCTACATGTAGATTGGTACATTTGAGGCATGTTTTGTTGTGATATGTATTCAAACAAGTTATTTCTTTCTATTACTTTATGATAAACTCACAAGTGAGAAATACCACTCTAAAGAAACTAGAACTCTCTTACCTTGGCACACAAAACCGTTTTCTTCGTATCCAGCATTGCAGGAGCACTTGCCAATAGGAACAAGCCATTCACCTTCGGTACTGCAGTACATCCGGGGAGGGTCTTCCTCCTTAGAATTGTTGACACAAGAGCCTCTGACCTCCACCAGGGACTGGGAGTCCATAGGTACTGTGTCTGGAAACATAGCCAAATTCTTCACTGTAAATGGGCACTTCTTGAAGTACACTCTCACAGACACCAAGGCAACACAAGCACCAACATCTTGAAAAGCCAAATAAAATCCTTTTTTGGTGACAGGCCCTACTTCTCTAATCTCAGTATTGAGTTTAAGAATACGGTCCCCAAGATCCATCTGAGTGAAACTTTCGTCAGCTGCAATGGTGTCAATCTTTGTAAACTGATGCTCTCGGAATTTGACCCCATGATCATCATCAGACTCCATGTAGTACAAGTTGAAAGTCTCTTTGCAAGTTCCCAAAACCAATGGAATGCTATTGCAATCCCGTAGAGTGAACTTGAGCTCCACGTAGATCTTCTGAGCTGAGTTCCTGGGGACCCAGTTTGTCCTCAGCCAATTATTTTGACTGTGATCCATGACATTACACACCTGGTAAGTCCTGATGGGTGTATAATGTTCATCAACACCGCTGATCTCCTCCCACTGAAGGATCAAAGCAAAAACAATGACTGAGTTAAGCATAATAAATATCAAATTAAAGACAAAAATGTCAAAGTCATTACAGGAAAGATGCAGTAAATAAACAGAGTCTTCAATTTTCCTCATTTTAAAAGGTGATTGAAACAACTCCATAAAGTTCTTGTTTGTCATTTTTATTACTTTAAAGTTCTATGAGTTAATTAGGGAATTAGTAATTTTCATGAGCACACTTGGATTGCATTGCAATTCATTAAATGTTAGAGAAGTCACTTAACAATGGTTTGAACTTAGCCAGACCTTCCAAGATTAAAACCTGAACTGTATTGTCTCCAATGACATTATGCTATGGTTTTGTTGCATATAAAATTCATCTTTACTAATCTTCTCCCAATGTTAGCCAGGCTGTGGTAAATTTGATATATAGTAAAACAAAGTGTATCTAAGTGATGTCAGTCCCATGTATCTTCATGAATGGCATTTTTAAAGACACTCAGGCATTTTAGTGGATCCATGTTGGAGAAGTATGAGAGGAAAAATGGAGTGAAAATATTAATATCCCTTGTTTCTTCCCCAAAATGAAAACTTAGAAGGTATGTATGAAAAAATAGATGACATTATGCAGTAAATATTCCAATTCTTAATGCATTTATCCACATTGGACTTATACATGATCAAAAAATATAAAGATATTTGACTGTTGTTATCGTTATTTTATTGTGGTTAAGATTATACTAATACAACTTTTCTCACTATAAAAGAGACTAAAAGTTTCAAAACTTTTTAGAACAGTGAGGCACTTGCTTTTTGTGAACCTTGGAACAAATTTTTAGAAGCTTTTAACTTGACATCATATTGTTTATATTAGTTATGATCCTAAAACTATTACACCAGCTGTTTCCAACTGTTATCCCTGAGTCTACATTGTCTTTTTACTATGTCTAATTTTGTCTACTGCTTCCAAGAAAATATGGCTTTACCATATTGTTTATGAATTCAAAGTCTTTGATGGTTCTTCATTACCCCTTCAAAAACGTAACCTCTTTGGTTTGGTAATTATGTATCTTCAAAAACAGATCCAAATACACATGTCAGTTTTTCTCAAAGTGTGATTAAATATTAGAAATGATATTTTTTTCTCAAAGTGTGATTAAATATTAGAAATGATATTTTTCACCTATGCCTGTTCTATGTTCTTGTCAATATGAATGTTTTTGCTCTTTTCAAGAGCCATATTGGATCTTTTGTTCCTTATTCTCTTGCTTCTGGTGTAATTCCACCGGAATGTGCTTCTTTTGTATTCCATGTCTTCTATAACCCTGCTGATTGTACGAATTTTTCTGTATATACAGTCATTATTAAAAACCCTATTCTTTTGTAGATTAAATTCATGATACAGGCTAATTTGATTTTGTTCCATTAACAGTTACTACATTTTGACTTCTTCATATCTGTCATAGCATGTGGCACAATACTTTACCTTTTGGGAAATGAATAAAACATGATTTTTTTCTTGTAATATATATAGGAGTAATTCATGGAAGTAAAAGTATAAGAAATTATTATTAAGGATGTAACTCAGTCACAGAGAGCTTGCCTAGTATGCACAAGATCCTGGTTTGATCCCTAGCGCTATAAAAAAATTATGTTATTAGAGAATTTTTTACTTTCATAGATTAGTAAATAAAATTCTTGTGAAATCCTTTATAAATTGTTTCTAAAATTTTTAACTTGATCAACAGACTTTAAGGCATATTGGCATTATTTCTATTTATCAGACACATAGGAATTCCAACCCACAACTTCTAATCACTAAAGGAGATCCAATGTTAATTTGGTAAATTGATGGTCGTAATCACAAGTAAAGAAATATAGTATGTATTTGACTTTTATGCTTCATTAAGGAAAAGTAAATCATTTACCTTAAAATGTTTGAATTATAAGTAACAGTAAGTGGAACTCACCAGGGTGAGAAACAGTTTAGAATTTCTAATTTTTCCTCACTTACCTACCAACTTATTGTAGAAATAGTTAAAAGCATTACTTATGTTAATAATCTTTGTAAGCCATGATCTAGAATCAAAGATAGGCACTTATTTTTCTGAGATAAAATTGGGTTAACACCATTACCCAAAGTCAATAAAACAAAGGAACAAATCAGAAGTAATTTAAAAATCCCTAGCAATAATGTACATGATGTATTTCTATCTTAATAATAGGAAAGAGAATATTCCAATTATATATTTAATAACAACCAACATAGCATTTTCAAATATTCAATATGAATGTATGGATTGTATGGGAAACTTTTCAGAAGAAAAGTATATAAGGAGAGTCTCAGTTGTAAGGATTTTACACCAAGGTGTTTATAGTATTAAAAGACATTCGAGGATGAATTAAAATACAACTTTAATTTCACAAGAAAAGAACTTAGTGCTCCAAAATTTTCTGGTGTTTAAAGTCAGTGTTATGTGGAGCTTCACATGGACTCAACAATGGCATTGCAGAACTAGCAAAACCTCCAGAAAATGTATGCTTTCTGTTGCCATCTTACTGACTCCAGACAGAGTGGCTATCATCAAGAAAATAAGCAACAATAAATGCTGGCAAGGATGGAGGGGCTTTAGGCAAGAGGAAACCTTAAACACTGTTGGTGAGAATGTAAATTATGTAGTCACTATGGAAATCAGTAAGAAGTTTCTTCAAAAAACTGAAAATAAAACTACAGCATGATCCCACTGTACCAATTCTAGTCATATATCCAACAAACGTAAATCAACATACAATACAGGTATCTAAACACCCATGCTTATTATAACACTCTTCACAACAGGCAAGTTGTAGAATCAGCTTAGGTGCAGGCCAACTGATGAACAGATTTTAAAAATGTGGTACATATGTAAAATAAATTAATATTCAATCATAAAGGAGAATAAAAATATGTCATTTGTAGGAAAATGAGTGGAACTGGTGATAATCATTTCAAACAAAATAAGTCAGACTCAGAAAGACAAATTACTCATGTATTCTCTCATATGTAGTATACAGACCTACAAATTACTCATGTATTCTCTCATACGTAGTATACAGAATACAAATTACTCATGTATTCTCTCATATGTAGTATACAGACCTAAAAAGAAAAGAAGTGACATAAATGTAAAAGAAGGACTGTTTTGTACTGGGCCAATGGGAAGAGAGAGGGGAGAAGAGAGGGTGATAGGCATGTGAATATGACAGAAATACATATAGGTAAGCATGATAATAGGATAGTGAAACACATTAAAAATTGTTTAAATGGGGTTAAGGTATAGAAGAAACAGTAACAGAGGGGTGCACATGATCTAAGTATATTATGTTCATGTATGGAAAAATAAAAACGAACCCCCTTGTGCAATTAACATATGCTACTGAAATGTTAATTAAATAATAAAATGATTAATATTTTCAATACAAAAGACAAAAAATAGATTAATTTGAGCCAGTCATTGTGGTCCACAGCTATAATTCCAACACTCTGTTGGCTGGCCCAGAGGGATACTGGATTTGATGTCAGCCTGTGTTACACAACAAGAACCTGTCTCAAACTACAAAACAAAAACAAAGAATAAAACAAAAAAAGAATAGATGAGTTTTTGCTTCTACTGATGAGTCTTTGCAAATTTCTTTTGCTATGAGCATCTCTCTGCTAGACATCAAACAGAGCACATTATGTAGAGATTTTTATAATTTGATGTAAAATATTATTTTAATTATGGAGCTCTCATAGTAATCTAACTTTGGCAAGCTATCACAAGTTCTTGAATACAGAGATATAAATTGCAAGAAGACAATACAAACAACACCAGCATGCTTTGCACATAAAAGGGTGCACAGAGCAATTATCACTTCATTAATTTGTAATGAAGACCAAATTGCCTGTAAGTGATGGTGACTTGCCATCACAGACCACTTATAAAAATAGTCCCTGACTCTAGTGTTTACGAAAGACTAGCAACAGTAGAAATAAAATCACTAAAGGGGCATTTTTTCCAATAGTAGCAGCAACAAAATTAAAGCTGTTGCTGTAGAGTTATTTTATAACTTTAAATTACATGCATATTTACCAAAATTTCCTACTCTCAGAATTAATGCGTAATGCTCATAAGTTATTAAAGATACTGTTTTGCCACAGTACTTGTCCTACAACACACTTGAAAAAAAGAAATGGGTGATATATACAATTGATGGCAGATAGGATTTGACAGTACAAAGCATCTTCCTCTTCATGTTGCTAACCCTTCAAAAAAATAATCTCAACAGTGTGTCCAAGAGTCTCCTTGCCTTTAGCAGGAGAGGGCACAGACTTGCAAAACTTCAGAATACTTTCCTGAATTTGCTAAAATCAGCAATTCTGAGATTTAACCTGATTTCCACCTACTTACTCAAAACTTTTATGATTGGATCACTGAGACTAGAGCTGAGTCTTATTTTCTCTTTGCTTATTTCTTCTTAAGTATTGCAGCTATAAGAAACCCATGTATCCAGACTTGCTGTCCCTGGAGAGGCCATTTGAAAACTTATTCCAGCATCATGATCTGAGGGAACCTCATCAAGGGAAGAGGCAGACACTAAGGAGACTCTTGGTTTATACTTCCTGGCGAGCACAGGAATTGGTGCTTGGTGCTGAAACCAAGCATGCACTTTTGAAGTAAACATACATTTTAAATAACGAATTGTCATTCAACCTAATAACTATTATTCTGTTATACTTCAATTATAGTAATAGAGAATTTATTTTTCATGGATATTAACTCTTTTCATGGATAACATTTTTAGCTAACAGGAAATAAGAGTAATCATCAAAGGTTATATATTTTTTGAAGTGTAGGTGGGAAGCTACTATACAATTGGTGCATATGCAATATAACTGGAAAATATCAAAAAGTGAGAAAAAAACTCAATAATTTAACATTTAAGATTTAAAACTGGTTTCTTAGAAATTTGAAAATGACAATAAAAAGAAAGCA